ACGTAATAATATAGAAGGTACAATAAGTTACAAAGTTCATCAAAGATGATCAACGGTAAACGGATGACATAAAGCTTATGTCATACTAACTGTAATCTTAGAGTCATTTGCAAATAGTTCCATTAAATCTAAAGATCTATTTACTTCACCTACGCAAGTGAATTACAACAAAATGTCGGTCGTTGGCACGCTTTTTGCGGACGCGGCGACGTTTGGCGGTCAAGTAAAAAATAGCAATTGATAAAATACGGTTTCCATTTAAGAATAGACACTAATTCTCGTTGGTTCTAAGAAAACATCATTGTAAGCTCAAAGTAGGTTAGTTTCTTTGATTAAACTAATAGACATATACATTAAAAACTTCGTATATTTAAGAACGTTCTGTAGCGACCAAAAGTTACGGGTCAAAATCATATGTTTCAAACTTTTAATAAGAACTACAGCTAGCTCCCCAAAAACCTTACTGGTAAATGAGAAGACGCTTTGAGTTTTGTTAGGACCCAGCGAGTTTCTTCAAATATCAAAATTACGAAACAGGTGGCGCTAGCGTAGCAGATTTGCCATAAAGGACAACCTCCATGTTCCGTACCACAAGACCACGGCTATTGAAAAGCATGCTAAATATCAAACAGTTAAAGTTTAAACAGTTAAAATTGTTTTATTATACTTCTCGTAAACTACAGGGTCATTGCTAGTTGTATACTATCATTTTTGTTTCAACAATGACCCAAGAGTAGGGCATGGGCGTCCTTTAGCATAAAGTTAAAAATAAAAATAAAGTTAAAATTAAAATTCACTCTCTACGCTGTTTTAATCTCCGAAGCAGGAGGATAACATTCCTCCTATTTCCAAACTGTGGCACTGACAACAGAAAAAATTCTTAGAAAATTCCAAATCACATTTCGGCCGACTTGCGATACTAATTGACCCCCAAAATCTGCAAGCGAGTGTAGACGAGACGATCGCAATAAATTATACAAATATTTATAATATTTGTATAAATATTTATATATTTGTATTAATTGCTGAAGATTTTTTTTGTTTCAACGCGCTTTTCTCAGAAACTACTGGTTTGAGTTGAACATTTTGAGTTGGTTGGACCATTTATCGAAGAAGGCTTCAGGCTGCGGCCAATAGGAGCGAAGAAACACATGGAATTTGGAAAATTATTGTTTTTTTTCGAGCTTCCGTTGCGTGATGCCCAAAATAACTATTCCACGCAGGCAAAGCCGTGGGCACAGCTATATAGCTTATAAGATTATGTAGGCGTATACTCTAAAATTGGTTCAATGGATTAATGAAGCACTGTGTGTGGTATATATAACCTTATTGAATTGGAGTGTTCCACTTATCCTATTCCAAGATACAACAGATAGCAATACACTTAATGAATTTATTGCCGAAATTGTTCTGTAAATACTCGCTAAACGGGACTGTAAACAAAATAATAAATTGCGCAGATAAAAATAATCTGCAAGGTCAATGACCTCTGCAGTTACATCACGTTAATTTAAATTTACTTTAAAACAATGCGCTTTATATTGTCTTATATTGCCTTTCCCTGACAATATATTCAAGAAAATGTAAAAAAGCTTTTGAATAAAACACATTAACGGCTTAAAACGCGAAATTTATTAGTTAAACTTATTTGAAAATTACTCTGGTTGAAGTGTTTTATTTAAGTGTTCTCGTAGACTACAGACAGTATTTAAGTAATATATGTATATTGCTACTGAAAAAGAATTTTATTTAATTAAAAGGCCTTGTTCATACCTAGTCTATGCCATTTTGTGCAATCCTATTTTTTAAGCCCAACATGATGGCGAAAATTTATAATTTGATTATTAAAATATTGGGACCGGCGAAGAACGAACCCACGCCCCGTTGATTGTTAGCCATACATTGCTATCGATAGACCGTCAAGTAACTATAAAAAGTGACGATAAACTATGCAAACTAAATTAGGATACTTGGCTTTTGGTAAATTTGTTCTTACTTCTTAGCATAATATCTCATCAACGAACAAAAAAAAACATTAGAAGCAAATTCAAATATCTTAAGGGAAAGGGACTTTCACATCTAATCCTTTCACTAGTCTTTTTATTCGTGATAAAACTAATTGAACCTTAATACGTTAGCATAAAGCCTCATTTTCAACGACAACATGAACAAAACAAAAGGCTTCCGCATACCTCCTAATTGGAGTGTTGGTAATATTTGATGGCAACATTTCATAATAATTTAGCAATTGATGTGAATCAAAATTACTTTTGTTCAATAGCTCTATGATTAGTGTCGCTCTGTCGTCTATGCTTTTAAGATAGAACAATTGATTCTCGAACACTGTTTTAGTTTTTTTTTCTAATAGTGGACAGACATAGGCTTCTCTTGTTGAAGGTGAATACCCCAGTCACGTGACATTTGAACAAGATGCTCTAATTAACAACCTGAACTTTCTTTTCCTACGGTTGCTTTCGTGTGGCTTATTTAGACCCATTGCGCGTGAGCAGGATTTGAATCCGAGCACGGGGTCTCTGGCACTGAAATATGTTCGCTGCATGTCTGATGTCTTTTTAATGAGCAAGGTAGTAGCTTATGTAAGTTATACACCTGACCTTGAAAAAGAAGTACAATGATGGTATTTACGTGGGATTCACGCGATAACTTACGTTCGTGATAAATACGAATCATATTAACATACAGTTTTAGCTAATAGCAAGTGTATATACGCTATTTTTTGATATACATTGGGTACAAAAGATAATCTTATATTCAGTACTAATTGTAGTAATTTGATATACATAATTTCATATAATGAGATTGTTTACAAGATTTAAATTGGTACCTATTTGTATGATGGTAGATCTATTGATCGATCGTTACCTTGGTTCAATGATTAAAAGCCAGATCGGGTTAAACGCCAGAGTCCCGGGTTCAATTTATAAAGAAAAGTTTCGTCAACATTAAAAAATATCTAACGACCCTCATACAGTGCTTATTTCTGTAAAATGCTGTAAATATTATAGTACATATAATGTCTGTAGTTAACGCGAGAAGTACACATTTTAATAAAACGCTTTAACAGTTTAAAACGCGATCAATGTTAGTTAAAGTTATTTGATAATTATTTTAAACTACGGCCCGACGTTTCGGATGCTTCAGATCCTTTGCAGCTGTGCCTCCTCGTGACCATGAAACGCCGGACCTTAGTTATAATAATTTTCAAATAAGTTTAACTAATGTATATCTCGTTTTAAACCGTTAAAGTGTTTTATTTAAGTGCAAATATTATGTAAAAAATACCGGAGCATACAGGCGTTGCGTTCTTCTCAGAATATTACAATTATTAATAATAGTAAATAAATAAAAGTTAATAAAATAATAGTGATTACATGCAACACTGCGTGTAATTATTTAATTATGGGTTTATCCCGTCGATGTCGGATGCGAGTTTCAATTACTAAAACAAAAGAATAGTTAACAATGGGAATATATGACATGTTATCTATTATAATCTGTGCGTAATATTGTTTCAAGGAAAAGCTTAAGCCACCATTTCTTATAGATTATAATAAAGCAATAGACATCGCGTGTGGGTACATTTTATAATTTTTAAAATTGAGCTATATAGATATGACAAGTCAAGGCGAACAGTAGCGTATAATCTCGCTAACATTATTTAAGTATTTTCTGTTTTTCCTACCAAATCATATTTTAATTATATTATTGTTTGTGTTCTTTTTAGTAAAGTTATGTTTAATAAATAAATTATTAGCACAATTATATTTTTACTGCCTGTCAGTATATAAATAAAACTATTTTAACGGTGTAAAACGCGAAATGAATTTATCAAACTTTTTTACTACGAACCGGTCATTAGGGTCTATAGATGTACAGACAAATCACTAACTAACATTCGAAATAAGTGAATGTAAAATAACTTACTCTTTCCAGAATCTTCTTTTTCGTCTACCTCAATTCCGATATCTTTTTGGATCTCATAACTATTATCACGACCAAGCATTGTTTGTAACAATTAATTTCAAAATGGCGTAAACAACAACAGACAGGTACACAATCACTTCAAAACTGACATTTACAAGACACATACAGCGAGAGTATATAATTTTAAACTACCCACTTTTTATTTTTATTATCAAAATGAATAATAGTTAATGAATTATGGGTTCGTCGGTGTTATGGTAGCAATGTAGGGCTAATACTCAACGGGACGTAGGATCGATCCCCACTGGGTTTCCCTTTTTCAAATCAATTAATAATTTCTTTGAATCATGTTCGACTACCTCTGAAAATGTGAATATTGAATGTGTGGTAGGAATATCGAAAATTCCGTCCGGGTCACGTTTTAGTCTGTGGGTTTCCGAATATCCAAAGCCAACATAGGTCGACAGTGCAACTAGTGTTATATAGCTGGGGTAGTTCACATACCACCACCACCACCATGCTTGTCTGTCCTCCTCTATCATAAAAAAGACGGACACATACTGCGTTTAAATAAAATAAGTACACTAGTCATATAGTATGAAGTATTTCGTAATAAATTGTGCACATTCCATCTTTACATACTTATATACTTTGCTATGTGACGCACGTGAGACAGAATGAGATTGTGAGGTCTTATGATCATATTGAGAATGATATAAAAATAAAATCTATAATAAATTGAAAAAAATTATGACTCTGGCAGAACTTGAACCGGCACCCTCAGCGTTGGGTGCTGTTGCTCTGACCAATTGAGCTACTGAGTCCTGGTTGGTTAGAGCAACAGCGAAACGCTGAAGATGCCGGTTCAACTCCTGCCCAAATCATATTTTTTTCAATTTATTATCGAATGTTAATTCATATAGTGCCATTGTGTGCAAAAACGTGTGAAAAATATTAAAGTTTTCAAATGATATATAAATCTTATGAAACCAGTGCACAATGTCTTATAAATTGTGCATTTAATTACATCACGAGCAAACCCCATGCAATCTTACCGATTAGGGGCACTCGGGACGCCCTAGTTGGTGGAGCCTCTGGTGTGGCATTAGCATTGCCGACCTCTACATCTGTAACATAGTTCCTATATATAATATAATTAAGGACTATTTTACCATAACACAAACTAGATCTGCCTTTATCCGAACTAAATACATGAAAATCTGAAAAACAATCCTGATATATAATTTACGCGATATTTTTATTTATATTTTTCTTCCAAGGATATACGTATATATACTGTCTATAGTTTACGCGAGTAGTACACATTTAAATAAAACACTTTAACGGTTTAAAACGCGATATATTAGTTGTCACAAGTCGTATAGTCGACACGGGGAGAGTGTCTCCCCGTAACCACGGCTGCTGCAAAGCATCCGAAATGTCGGGCCGAAGTTGAAAATCATTTTCAAATAAGTTTAAGTAATATATCGCGTTTTAAACCGTTAAAGTGTTTTATTTAAATACGTATATATGTTACGGGCACTATTAAAACTAGCCGGTCTGTAATCATAATGCGCGACTCGATTGGACAATGTAATTAAAACAGCAAAATTAATAAATTTTCTCGGTCATTATAAATAGTGAAGTGTGATTTTTTGTTTAAATCAAATTAAACTTAAACTTTACACATTTTACAATATTTTGAAAAAGGTTACAAAAACTTAAATATAGAACATAGTTGTTTAAGAATAACATCACCATTATTATTGTATTGAGAAAAATATTACCTAAGAACAATAGTTTAAAAATAAGTAAATTCAGAAAAAAATATAGATGCTTAATAATTAAGGACTGTGCAAGAAAGTTATTAAGTTTAAAATTATGTATTCTTCCAACATGAGCTTTGTCTTATATACTTGGACCACGAGCCGTTGGGCATTATTAAAAATGGCCGGTCAGAGTGGTAAATTAATCACTTTTCTTATTGATCCAGGTGATTATTAACAATGGCTATTAATAATACCCATTTTATCAAGTTCCCCGTAACATACACGACGAAAAGGTATATATGAAACATAAGTAGTAAATACTCCTTGTATTGACTACAGTTAAAAGCCAGAATCTTATTACGAATTCTTCTCACAACCCACGCATATAAAGTTGAAATATCTCTCTGACAGTAATCCTATGTCTCAAGCCCCAATAAGGTTTTGTCCACGCATGCGCAATGCACATATATCACCAATAGCGCCAGTACTATGTTATTTTCTTTGGCCCCCTGCCAGTCTACAGAAATTACCCGCAATAACTATCCTTTATATCTTTTCTTATATTTAATGATTTTCGTACTAAATACCACAAATGAATAAAAATCTATGTAAATTGAAAAAAAATACGACAGGGAGATACTTGAACCGGCATCCACAGCATCCCGTGCTGCTGCTCTAACCGATTGAGCGATTGTGGTACACGTAGTCGGCAATTTTTTTCAACCTATCGATACATGCACTTCTGGCATACCGCCCGTTTCGTTATTTTTATTCGATGTAAATAGATTAAAATCTATATATAATGATGGCCTTTATGAGCAAAAACATGTGAAAAATATTAAAGCTTTGCAACAAATGTAATTAATATGCTAAGTATGTTGGTTGTAGAGAAATATTTGTGGTTCCTTCCTTCTTTTTTTGTAGGTCCGAGTTCGTCCTAGAATTTTTGGTAAAATTCTAAATACAAAAATGAAATTGCCTAGACAGGATTCGAATGTCTTTCAACTAAAGCTTTAAAACAAATCCTGTTTTATAGCTATCACGATGGATAACGCACCGTTAAGATTTCTTTTTTGAATCTATTATAATATGTCATATAAATAGTTATTTTTTAATTAAACCTAGTTAATTGCTTCTTAAAAGTCATCTACGTGGATAAATTTATATAAACGCCCTCCCAACAAGTCTAGGTGTGAATATTTTATAGTTATCGCGTTATAATTATAAATATTTATCACTAGTCTTTAATTGACCTATTAACCGCACACAAGGAAAGAAATTGTAATGACAATAACTTTATTTATCTGTGGAATCCGCAATTAGCAATAAACAATATTGTCGATAAGAATTTTGTAGAAGTTTAAAACGCGATATGCACTAATTGTTAAAAATATTTTAACGGCCCGACGTTTCGTGCCCCATCTCCCCGTAATCACGGCTACTGCAAAGCTCGAAACGCCGGGGCGTAGTAATAATTTTCAAAGATGTTTAACTAATGTACTTATATCGCGTTTTAACCATTAAAGTGTTATGTGTTATTTAATTGTGTACTACTCGCGTCAACTCTGTAGTTTACTTCGTATCTGTTAAATTGTACTTAGAAATCTGACACACTACGAAATTTTTGCTTCCTGAGTTCAATTACGCCATAGAGTATATTAATACGACTCGCATGCGTAATTTAAAGGAATAACCAAAGTTACGCACAGAATACTAACTATCCTTATTTATTAGTTCATGCATTATTTACTGTTTTGATCGTTTTATATATTACCATATCTGAATTGTTTTACATGCATTTTACTAATCGCTATATTAGAAGTTACAATGCAGTTACTTAGTGATACATATCACAATTGCCTTGTATGGACCTTATAAATATAGTACAAATTTTATTACAACAATATCTACAGAATTTCAACAATACAAAAGGTAACCCTGTCTTGAAACTCACGCCTTCTGCGGTAGGAATTTAAATTTCGAATCGAAAAGGAAAATAAATATGTATTTATGTTCGAAATTTAAAAAAAAACGAAAATAACAAAACATTATAAATCTATTATTATAAAGTAGTGTTATATTATAAATTAATTTTAATATTATAAATTTTTACAACTAAGAACCACAAGTATATAATAGAATTATACTTTTTTTTTAATTTTCTCTAAATAATTGGTCTAACTAATTACCCTCTAAATATAATTATATTATGTAGTTTTGCAAGTCTTTGGCGATAATTCCCAGCCATGCTAACATGCTCGACTTTCAATTCTAAAACGTACCAGCGAAAGTTTCATTTTGGTCTCGATAACTGGTCCCCTCGGGTCTACCATCAAATATCTCGTATCTTGAAGAAGCTGTAGGTTATATTCGCTTTTAAATATAATAATTGTAAATCTGTGTCATGACAACTGCTATACGATATTATAAAGCTGAAATGTTTGTTTGTTTGAACGCATTAATCTCGGGAACTACTGGTTCGAATTCAAAACCGTTTCATGCGAATAAAATGTTTGTCGAAATAGTTTATATGGTTCTAGAATGTTTGCCAGGCCAGCTTGTATTTTATAAAAAGTTTGAGTTATCAGAATAAAAATTCCACTTTCTCCACAGCTCTGTTATTCATATGAAGCCTTATCTCGGGAGTAAAGAAATCTAATCTTGTCGTTTTAAATAAGGATAAATATAATGTGTATCTCATTCTTCTGTAATCCTATTAGTTTAATATCTAATCACTATCAACCTCGTGTAAAACATCATGTCCAATTTCTAATGCATCATGATAGATACGAGTTGGAATTAAGTTGACGCGAGTAGTACACATTTAAATAAAACACTTTTAACGGTTTCAAGCGCGAAATGTATTCGTTGAATTAGTTACAATTTATTTTAAACGTTGCTTCGAAGCATTTAAAACTCCTAATTAAAATAATGTAATTGGTAAATATTATTGGTTTAAAAAGTGTTTCATTATTTGATGTTTTTCCATTGAAATGTATTGCTCATTCCTCCAATTCTGAATTTATGATGTTTAAAAACTTTTATATTTTATTAACCTTTATTTTTAGACTATAATAACAATTAAATTTACTTTATAATATTATATTACTAGCTATGCCAGCGACTTGTTGTTCTTTTATTTTGGGCATCCAAATTAGTTTTTCAAACCCCGTATCTTTTAATAAAGCTTTAGCCACACGTAGATAGATATATAGCGTCGAGGACTTTTTTAAACCATTTAAAGTGAAATACTTTTACATATAAATTTTTTGGTATCTTGAACCGTTTTTCAGTACGCATCTGAAATCCGCAGAGATGAAAAATTTCCTCGTTTTGTTCACATTTCCCCTATATCTTCGCTTCTATTAGTTACAGCGCAATGTTTTATAGCTTATAGCCTTCTTCGAAATTTTCTTCCAATACAAAAAAATTTCAATTCGAACCCGTGGTTTCTGAGATTAGCGCGTTCACAAACAAACAAACTCTTCAGCTTTGGATATTAGTATAGATATTAACTCTATTGGTTTACATTACAATTTTATCGTTATGGTTATAAAAGACTACTAAACGTAAGTAATCTGACTACTAAATTTCTACTTCTAATGCAGTTAACGTCCACTCTTTATCTCAAAAGCAAACCGCTTTGATCAGTAGCAAGATAACGTGAAGGAAAATTTATCTAACCTGCTGTGTTTATTTTGTATGCAAGAGAAAAAATGTTATCATTACCACTTTTATCTTGACTTCTTCTCTCCTAGTTAGAATTGTATACTTTCATTATGTATATTTTTGACTACAAAGCCCATACAAATAATCTACAACAAATCTATTCATCTATTTTTTTTATTCTTTGTGACGACAAAAAATGTGCTTTTACAAGACTGCTCATTTCCCCTATGTCCCCATGTCAACGTTTCATCGTTTCCATTATTTAAATAAGTTTAAGAGTAATAAATATTAGTACGCCGTAATTCCGAGCGACCTTTTGCGTTTACGAAAACTCCTAGGTTCGATTCTGCACAAATAACATAATGTCTATAGTTTACGCGAGTAGTACACATTTGAACCGTTAAAGTGTTTTATTTAAATTACATAACATTTTCTGTCCCTCTGTATACCTTATTAGTGAAATAATTTTGAAAAAAAAACATCTAAATTATTTATATTATTCGAACTCGTTTACTTGACTTTTTATAATATTAGGATTGTTAAAATTATGAAGTTAAAATACATATCTTACTAGTCCTTCTACAAAGTAGAAATATTTGCTCTGTGTGTTTATATAAATGATTATCATAATATGAATGTGAACGAGTGTTATTTAGAAAAGTTATTATTGATATTTAAATTTTTCACGTAATCTGTCTGTTACGGCGATATCAGTCGTTAACTGAAAAAAATGTTCGCTGTGTAAGTTTGTAATTTTCAACGTAAAAAGTCTCGGACTTATAATTTTCTTTTGGAATACTAACTGACAGTCAGGTCATTAGTTCTCGGAATCAGCTTACTGCTTCATGAAAAATAATTTGTATATGTTTAAAATTACGTAACTTTTATTAAAAATAGTACTAAGATTTCCGGTTATGAAAAAAATATTGTAATTATTTAACCGTTAATAGTTTCTAATAAAAATAAATATTCTTAATGTAAACATTTTGTTCTTTTAATAGTCTTTGTTCTATTTTTAATTTAAATTATTTTGTTCTATTTTCAAACTGTTTGTCCATAAATTGATAACTGGTTATCCTCATAGAAACACCTCGATACTCGTAAAAAAAGAAAGAGACATCTGAACGGAATATCACCTGCATTTATCTAATTTTACAATCGTATCACCATAAATACTTTCTTGAGTGCCGTCAGCTTAAAGTGCTTGCATTTTTACTATCACTATCGTAAAGCGATAAAAAGTTGATAGATAACGAATGCCAAAGATCATGTGGCTGATGAATCTTATGTTATCTAAAAAACTATCGAAGTCACTGCATCTAAAAGAATAGATTTTCTCCAGATAGTTCGATTACTGTGTTACAATAGCTCTATAAAAAATTATAGAGGCAGCTGTCATTTTAAACATAAGTACTTTCATTTTGTCTAAGTTACATCTTTTTTATGTATGAGACTGCTAGATACGGAATGATTTTCAATAAGGAAGAAATTGAAAATGCCCAATTAACTTAAGCAAAAATGAAGAATTTACCTTTTTTAATGTCACATATTACGAGTAAAACTATATATTTTATTATTAAAATAATACATTTATAGGCTTTACAAAATATTGTTGCTTTAAAATTGCGTCGCATCTTAAATTGAAGCTATATGCCGCTTCCAATATCACTTTTTTTTTTAATTAAGTATATTTTCTTAAAGCCACGATAACATTTGAAACTTACAAAACACAATAGGTATAACGCTAGAATACATTGAAGACCTAATTATGATATCTTGATAACTTAAGTACACCAACTGATAACACAATTATAATTAATTTTATTTCTTAAATATTTATCTAAGTTCTCATTTTGACATATCCTATCCGTTAGTTCGTAGTATAATATACTTTAATGTAGTTTTAAGTATGTATTTCTAAAGAAAATGTTGAAATGGATTAATTTATAAGTTAAATATGTTATTTTATAATATTACATATATAAATGAAAAAATCACTTAGTAATATTTTGACAGTTAGTTATTTCTTACTAAAAATAAATACAAAATAAATGTAGGGGCAGTTTTACTTGGTCTACAGGCTTATCTATATTACTTCGTGAATATCCAAGTTGTATCCAAGCCTTAATTAAATAATGATTTTTAATAATAACGATTAATTCGTTCGTTTAATCGCGAGAATTTCAAAAAACGCTCGTAAAAACTTCTATACGCGCCTGTAACAAGAGAAAAAAATATGACTTACTTTGCCCTCCCTTTGTAGCCATTTTGATTTCGCAAAGGATCTATTCACAACCGCACTGCGCACGCACACTGTCCTCGTAGAGCACCGCTACGTTGCTACGAAACGTTTATTAATACGATAAACGATCGGGACGACACTAAAGTAATTCGGGGCACGTGTGAACAGTACACGAATCGAACTTGGAGTGATTTTGCTCCCGGACTGTTTCTGCTGCTGGGCTCGAGATAACTAGTGCCTCGAAAACAATAATTAGGCACAGTAGCGCCACAGCAAATGACGCTAGGGTGCAAGCGATACGCGAATTCTTACGTCATGTTTTAACGTTCGATATGTAAATTTAAATATTGTGTAAACTATAATACTCTTGTGACTCCGAAGCTAACAACAATGTTTATATATTTTTCATCAAATTAAATAAAGAATGTTACCTTTTACTCTCAGTATCTTAGTGATTGTTGATTTCGTTACTTAAAAAAAAATAGAAAATATAAAACGATTACTTGCAAAATGCATTATATATAAGTAACTATCTGTGTAACTTGTTATTTACGTTTTTGTGGTAAAATCCCAAAAAACGTAAATAACAAGTTACGTGGTAAAAAAGCTGTATTTTCACATTTATCTAAGTAGGTATCAGTTTATTGTGTCTACATATTAAGTTAAAAAAGTTTTTTAAAATCTTGCTTGAATTATAACATTTGTTAAATATGTACATCAAAATCTGCCAAGCGGTTCTCGAGTAGATAGTTATAAATAGTTTACTTCTCAAAAAGGACTTATTCTCTTAATTCACAAAAGACACAGAAATCGTAATATTTAGCATTAAGGAATGTTTTGACTATTGTTGTCATAATTGAAATTTTTCATTCCTTCCCGCCATGTGTTAACAGCATGTTATCTCAAGTCAAATAAAGAAACGCTCGAGTAAATTAACTACCTATTGTTTATTGTAAATTTTAACACCTGAAAATGTTATTTACTTTGTATATTCTGTGGTTATTTACCCAGTATGTGTTATTTGAAATTATTTATACATACATATGTAAATAAAGTCTAATCGCCATAGTTCGAGAACTAATTTTTATCATGAAATAAATCTTCTCCAACATTTAAAGTGAATTAATAAATATCATGGCATATGTAGCCGAGACTTGAAATCTTACTTGCGGATTGATTCACAAGCTAAAAGTAGCCCAACGTGCGATGGAGAGAGCTATGTTAGGAATATCTCTTGCGGTCAAAGATCGAAACAAAGTCATCCGCCAAAGATCGAAAGTGACGGATATTGCTAGAAAAATCGGCAGGTTAAAATGGGAATGGGCTGGGCATGTCTGCAGAAGAGAAGATGGTCGTTGGAGCTGATATATACTAGATTGCAGACCACGATTAGGCAAACGTAGTGTAGAATGACCTGAAGAAAGTAGCCGGCAGCAAATGGATAAATAGAGCTCAAGAGAGGGCTGAGCTGGCATGCTTTGGGAAAGGCCTACGTCCAGCAGTGGACCCAAACGGGCTGATAATGATAATGATGAATAAAAATACTACGTTGCAGCTATTCAATAAATATAGGTACTCATTACTGATTAAAACATCACGCTTAATACAGTTCGTGCAAGGATTAAGATAACGAAATATGATTATTACAGAGAGGATTAGATAAATTTTGCCACTGTTCGCTTTTATTGAGTGCAAATATTAAACAACGATTTAGCATTATACTACTTTCATAATGAAGTTTAAAACATATTCAAATAAATAGTTGAAAATGACAGCATTGCACCTGACCTAGAAATAATGTGAAAAATGTCTCATTACTACCAAAATGCTGAACTAAATCTGAAGACTTATTATAAAATGGGCTGTAGAAAAATCGAAATTGTATTTTTGTCACATACCAATGTCCAAAAACAAAATAAAAAAGAATGTCGTGAATGTCCGTTTCACTGATGGGTTTATTTACATGCCCGACCGAAACAATTTACTGTTTCCCCGGGTTTCGAACCCAGGTCCTCTCGCACTAAATGCAATCCCAGGCAACACGTCTAACCATTTAACTACAAAGGCGGCAAAAAAAAACAAAATTTTTTTTGGGAAAAATTGCCTTTTTTTTTTTTTTTTTTTTTTTTAAAAGTGAACCCAGTGTCATTGTAATAACTTTGTCACCAAAAACAAAATCGAACAATACTCACAATTACGATACGATAATTCTGTCTGCACTTTTCAGCCATTTAAATTATCTTGTTTTTGTTGGCAGTCTGAAGCTGCTGTCACATTTTTTATCATCACAAGTGCAAACCTAAAGATCTAAATATTTTCGAATGTAGATTACTGAGTTAGTGTGTGATAAGGCCCTGTGTGGAATTTGTGAAATCATCATTTCGATAAAAATTTAGGAATTATAAGCCATCGCATACTACAATCATAAATAAAAATACATGTACAATCTAAATCAGTCTTCCTGTAATCTTAACAATAGTGGGATGCGGGAGGATACAAACAATTTATTGTTATCCTAGTAGCTATGGGTGGCTTCTATTATACTCCCCCGCTAATAACAATAATAAGAACTACGTATGTTAATATTTATCTAATAGGTTTTTACCTACAAGCAAATATGTAGATTAGATTTTGTGTGACCTAAACTGTTTATTCTTTATAACTGGATTCGACCTTATGACGTGTATGTATAATGAGAGCTATATGTATTATGAGAACCAAGTCGAAGAGAAAAAGTGATCAACATACATTTTAAACATTATTGGTCCAAGAACGCTACCTATACACAACCCTATTTATAACTGCGTAGCGTAGTATTTTTTGTGAATATCGTAACTTCAAAAACCTCCAACCTCTAAACGACTTTTGGTTAAACCCAGCGCAAAAGATCGAGAACATTGTCTGTGGGTTAATTCTTATACCTTTATTTACAGCGGAAACATCAAAATGACCAGATCACCTGTTATTAGGTTGTGTTCATATAATTTTGCGTGTTAGTAAAACAGAAACGGGAATGGATTATTGAGGTTAAGATTGTAGAATCAATCAATATCAAAATTTACATATGGTCTTTGGTTGTGCGAGAAAAGAAATAGAATATGGATAAATATTTTACTAGTTGCGTGCCGTGTCAAATCTAGGAGGTGGAAACCTAACTATGGTAGAATAATCAAGAGGCTATTTACACTTTAGGGTTAAGATGGAACACCTCTAGAAACATTAAGTTTAGAGTTTTTAACAACTCACACTTAAGTATCTTAAAGCATTGAATCTCTTACCGAAAAATATAGTTCTAAAAACGATCATTCCTTGCATTTACGTGTCCCGGTACATCATCTTTCATCTCCATGTTTGCCATCAGTATAACAAACAATTATTATACCAACCACAGTGGTTATCATAAAGACAACATTATTATATTAGATCATCACCAAACAAGATATGCGTTTGGGGGTTGGTGATAGATAGTCAGTAATAATATTTCATTACGATAAGCAAATCGTTGCAGACTTATATGAACAGTTGGAGACATAAGTACGAAAATAAAATGTTTCCTTTTATGTTCTATGAAATATGAAAACCTTTTATTAGTGTCTCTTGCAAGTGTAAAATCATCTTAGAACTTATTAAAAAAACATTTTAAACAAAGTAGTAGCAGTTACTAAAGGTAAAAGTCTAATCTACATTTCAAATCCGAGGATCAATAATGATTTGTTAATTAAGGCGCGACTGTTCTTGCTATACTGTGCTAGTTCTTTATCGTGTTTGTATTGCAAATATTTTTTTTTCACCTCACGTCAAGGCCGCAAAGAATACGGTCCATAAATAATACTATAATTGCTAAATTGGTTTATTATATCATAAAAAAGTGCACTCATACAATAACAATGATGTTTTATGGTGTTTTTAAATATAAAGAATATTAAAAAAATAACAAGCACACAAACGTCCTGAATAAATCTTGTTAAGTAGGTCATTTTAAAATCTATGTAACCTTGTAAAGTAAGTAAGTAACTTTACACACCACAAGAAAGTCCTTATTGCAAAACAGCGATCTCTTTCAGGCCACCAAATGTAAAGGAATGTAAGGGACTATAAGTAGGTGATGCTAGAGAAGAATGTAAAAACAAACGAACGAAAAAATTAACTATTTGCTACGTAAGGATTTCTATATTAATAATAATAAATAAATAAATTTGGTGCTTACAAATTTAGCTTTTAATTTTTTAAGAATTAAAATTTGTAAACTCAAATAAGGAGTATATTAGAAAAAAATAAATCAATTGATTATATTACATATATATAACAAAGTATTTATTTTGAACAGTTAAAGTTCAAAGTGAGGATGGTACATTCTTTAGACCTAAATATACATCAAATCCAAATTGGTTAAGGAAAACGAAGAAAACGTATTCATCGAATGAGACCTCGTAATTCTATTTTCATAATATATCTTCAAGTCATCAGTATTAATAACTACACAATATAGAATTATAATAGACATGTCTGTACGTGAATGTTTCTAAAAACACAAATAATAATATAGATAAATAAAAAGGTATGAAATGTCCTGAAAGTAACAAAACACATATCTAACATATTTGTTTGTTTTCTACGATAAAACTATTAAATACATTTTAATGAAGTTGCGCCAAAATTATGAACATTTTGATAGAACTTCTTATATTCCGTATTCATATTCAAATAAAAGACTTTACCGGTTTAAAACGTGATATATATTAGTCACGGGGAGATTATGAGGTTTCCCAGTGACCACGGCTGCTGCGAAGCATCCAAAACGTCAAGCCCTAGTTAAAAATAATTTACAAATAAATTTAACTAAAATATATTGCGTTTTAAACCGTTAGAGTGTTTTATTTTAATGTGTACTACTCACGTAAACTACAGGCAGTATTTCGTATTCATATTTCTTACATAGTTTTCTCGATCGGTAGATTTAGAAAAGATGAATTTTCAAAGAAGTTGCGGGTAGTTACTAGTCCCTTTATATATCTTCATCATTTA